ATAAGGAGCTGTAGTTTGATGAATAATCCCATAATTTGAACAAAATTCAGCAAACGGTGCTCCATATTCCCTACCTCTATCACTACGAACAATTTTTATTCGTTTGCTTAGTTGATTCTCAACCTCATTCTTGTACTGTTTAAATGCTTCTAAAGCCCCGTCTTTACTCCTTAGCAAAAGGACATAACAATACCTTGTGCAATTATCTATAAAAGTAATAAAATACTTTTTACCTCCTCTAGTTTGCACAAACTTTAAATCAAAAATATCACTGTGAATTAGTTCTAGAGGATTCGAGCTCCTTTCAACTGAATGAAACGGTGTTTTCGCTAATTTAGCTTCTACACATGTTTCGTATCGATGATTTTGATCAAAGGACTTAGAAGGCAATAAATCTAAACTTACTAATCTTCGTAAAGTATTAACATTTACATGTCCTAACCTATCATGCAATAAGTTAGAAGACTCAATCAAGTAAGCAGAAGATTTATTTTTATTAATATCAAAATCACGGAGTACAGGCATTACATTCAATTTGAATAGCCCATTGGCTAAGTACCCTTTGCCTACAAACATGCCATTTTTGGTGAATACAAACTTGTCAGATTCAAATACCAGCCTAGATCCATTCTTACTTAACTGAGCTTCAGATACCAAATTTTTGCGAATATCGAGAACATGCAGCACATCAATGAGTGTTACTTCTTTCCCTGATGTCATCTTCAGCACTACTTTACCTAGACCAATAACTTTTGATGTTGTCGAGTTGCCCATGAAAAGTTGTCATCCATTGATAGGAGTGTAAGATGAAAGCATCTCCTTATCAACACAAACGTGACGAGTAGCGCTAGTATCAACGAACCATTCTCTCAGATTATCCACCATGTTTGATTCAAATACAACAGTCGAGAGCATTAGTTCAGACACTCCGTTAGACAGTCTGTCTTCTTCAGTCAAGTGCACTTGGTCCTTTTTATTTTGCTTTTTCTACCGGCAGTCCTTTGCAATATGACCAGGCTTACCGCAGTTATAGCAATCTCATTGAATTTCTTGGCCTTACTCTTTTGCTTGCCATTATTCGGGTGCTTCCTTTTTTTGCTAGTATTTGGCTCCACCAAATTGACTTTAGCCTCCATTTGCTGCTTTCTAGACTTCTTTTCAGCATTTTGATTGTCTTCCTCAATTTTTAATCTAACAATCAAACCTTCAAGTCCCATTTCCTTGCGTTTATGTTTCAGGTAGTTCTTGAAATCTTTCCACATTGTGGTAATTTTTCGATAATTGCAGCTACCTGAAATGATTCAAAGAGCTTCATGCCTTCTGCATGTATTTCGTGTAAGATAAGTTGTATCTCTTGGACTTGAGTCATTACTGTTTTAGAATATACTATTTTGAAGTCCAGGAATTTGCCTACAACGAATTTCTTCAATCCAACATCTTCTATTTTGTACTTCTTTTCCAATGACTCCCATAGTAATTTAGTCATTTTGATGGAACAGTATACGTTGTATAGTGTGTTGTCAAGGCAATTGATGATGTAATTTCCACACAAGAAGTCACTATGACTCCAAGCATCGAATGCTGCTCATTTTTGAGAATCTGTTTCCTCCTCCTCAACAGTGGAGTATCTTCTCTCAAGATTTTGACCAAATTCAGAGTCGTGAGATAGAACAACATTTTCTGTTGCCATCTCTTAAAATTCACTCCCGTGAATTTTTTGGGTTTCTCCCCGTGAGCATTGTTAGGGGGTACGACAAACGTACTATTACTTGTCATTATCGTTTTAAAATTGTTGATGGATATTGGCAAATAATAGTGTCACCGTGAATATATATTTGGGCAGAGTAACGACGTTTGGATGGTTTTGAATGGTCGAGGCAAGAGTTCGACTCTTTCTTCTTAAAACGATAATGTCTCGCACTGGTACTGACGGTATTGCAGTACTCGTCTCCCAAGATACAACGACCTCGTCTTGTAATAGTAGTACTCCAAATTACAAGACCTGACGAACTCGTAAAGTTTAGATCTCTCCACACAAACTGGATGACTAAAATGCGCGAAAAATATTTTTCGAGGACTGAATTATAAAAATAGAAATGATGCAGGGACAATGGGATAATTTTGGAAGAGTAGAAAATCAATTCTAATTTTTGGAATGAATTAAAATCGGGTTATGGGGGCCTATATATAGATGTTGAAAGGTTGTGTCCCAACAGACACAACCGTCGAAAAGTTATGTCCAAAAGACACAAACAATTTGGACAGCCAACCGCTACAACCGATTAGACATTCAACCGCCAAATTCTAGAAGCACCACGTGTCACACACAGAAAATTCGAAAAAAAAAATAATAACATAAAATATATATTATTATTATTATTAAATAATAATAATAAAATAATATAATTCAAATGTTATTTTACCAAAAAATATATATCAGCTTGCCCCAAGCCCAGGACCGTGCCAAGCCAGCCGACGGCGGCGGCGGCGCGTGCATGTGGGCTTTGGCTTAACCTACTAGCATGTAGGTTCTCTCCCCTTCAAAGACTATTGGTATCTTTTGGGGCCCAAACCCAAGTCTCAAACTTGAGCTATATAAGATGGTTTATATTCTTCTAGTTTTCCTATGTTAAATTGATATTTTTCAATTTTTTACCTATTTTATTTCAACATCAATTGTGCATCTTTTGGCCTTAATTTCTCATTCACCCTAAATTGATTTTGAGAAAATAAATATACCATATTAATCTACTCATGGAGTAGAACACATTCGGCCAAAGAAATCTTATTTCTGATTAACGGGACCCACTAAATTAATTGGTTAAAAGTTGGTCAAACCAACTAATTAAAACCCAATTTTTCCAACAATTGTAAAGGAAGACCATAACTTTTTTTGACATATTCCTCTTCAAGAAGGAATACAAAAGGATAAATCTTTTGGCATGTGAGACAACACAATAGCCTTGTTTTATCTTCCTCGAGTTAATTGTTTGAATACTCACTGAACTTTAAAGGGCGTCACGTTTCACTCACTGAACTTTACTTTGCATCCAATTACTCACTGAACTTTGGAGTTAATTGTTTGAATACTCACTAAACTTTAAAGGGCGTCACGTTTCACTCACTGAACTTTACTTTGCACCCAATTACTCACTGAACTTTGTAAACTTGCACTCCATCACTCATCGGGTTAAAGAGTTAATTGTTTGAATACTTACCGAACTTTACAAGACGTCACATTTCACCCACTCAACTTTACTTTGCACCCAATTACTCACTGAACTTTGTAAATTTGCACTTCATCACTCACCAGGAACCGTTTGTTCTGTTTGCCTATGTGGATGACGACTTTAACACGTGACAGTTAAATTAGACAAACATAATAATGAATTGCCAAATCATATATCCAAAAAGACCCAAACATGCCTCACCGTTTTCACTCAAAAATGGCATGCCCAGTAAAGGCGAAAAAGAAGAAACAACAATCGCGATATACTAAAATTCACCTTCGAAGCGGCCTATTTTAAGAGATTAGGGTTCCAATCGCGATTTATGTGTTAAAAACGGTGAGGCATGTTTGGGTCGTTTTGGATATATGATTTGGCAATTCATTGTTATGTTTTTCTAATTTAACTGTCACGTGTTAAAGCCGTCATTCACATAGGCAAACAGAACAAACGGTTCCTGGTGAGTGATGAAGTGCAAATTTACAAAGCTCAGTGAGTAATTGAGTGCAAAGTAAAGTTGAGCGGGTGAAATGTGACGTCTTGTAAAGTTCGGTAAGTATTCAAACAATTAACTATTTAACCCGATGAGTGATGGAGTGCAAGTTTACAAAGTTCAGTGAGTAATTGGGTGCAAAGTAAAGTTCAGTGAGTAATTGGGTGCAAAGTAAAGTTCAGTGAGTGAAACGTGACGCCCTTCCAAAGTTTAGTGAGTAATTGGGTGCAAAGTAAAGTTCAGTGAGTGAAACGTGACGCCCTTTAAAGTTCAGTGAGTATTCAAACAATTAACTCATCTTCCTCTTCCTCCCACCCCACCCAAAGCTCCAACAAAGAATTTCTCTCAATCGCCGACCACTGCCTTTTAGATCTTCTCAACCCATTGTCAGAACCCTAATTAAGTCATAAGTTAATCACGCTAATGGCATTCTCACTCTCACGGTTGCACTCTACAATTCCATTTCACAAACAATTTCTCTTTTTTTAAAACCTTTCTAATTTCGATTTCAAATAATCCCCAAACCCTAATTAATTCCTAAATTAATCACTCTAATGGTTTTTTGGAGTTCCGGGTTAAGGATATTGATATGCTTGGAGCAGATATAATAGGAAAAGTCAAAATTTTGACAGAATGTATGGCTTTTGGTGAGATCATATCTGGGCTGTTATTGAATCAAATGATCCAATTAGATATGATAGAAAAGGGTTGAGAAAGATGATGAGTGCAATTTAAGTCCAAAATTTCGTTGGGACAATGTAAAATAACTTATTTTTCATCATATTTTTAAAATATAAATAAATAGAAAATGCAAAAAAAAAAAAAAAATCTCATTTCAAATTATGAAAACAAAATATTTTATTATAAATCACCGATGGGAGGTACTCATTAATGAAAGGTTAAATATAAGAATTCGACGGAAAAAATTAAGAAACTAATTGTTATAATAAGCAAAGATTAATAAGCTTAACTATAATTAAAATGTGATGCAACAAATAAAAGTTGTGCGATTCCCATTAAAAAAAAAAAAATTCTAAAAATTTGAACGGCCTGAGAAGGTGACGATGAAAATGATTCCTAATAGGGAACAACCACATAAAGCTGAGAGAAAATGAATAATTATAACAGAACAGATGTATGAACGCGTAGTTCCAAGAAAGGAGGGAATGAATTCCTAACGACTCCATTAAAACCAGCCGAAAATAGCTCCAAATCTTGTTATCATCTCCTCCATGTCACTTCAGGTAACTCATTCATCTCTCCTGCATGATACTCACACACACACACACACACACACATACATACACTTGGGTCTGTCTTCTTTAAACACACGTTAATTTATTGCGTTTAATTAAGTCATCGAACTGTGTGTTTTTTTTGTGTATTTGTTTGATTACGAGGAAATGCAGGGATTGGGGGACGAATATAGTTTTGATTCAAGACATAGTTGGGAGTACACCGGCGGTCAAAGGTGGCGGAGTGGTGGCGGAGTGGATCACGAGATGGCGGAAATGGAGGCCCAAACTCAGGTAGCCGCAGATAGAGAAAGTTCGGCAATCTTCATGAAAGCGAATCGTCTCGTCTCATTGAAGGTTTTTTTTCTGATTCATTTGTCTTATTGCAATGCATTCATGCACTATAAATAATAAATACAACAACATAAGGGGTTTTGTCAATTGATTTCCTGTGGAAGAGACTAAATTACTCCAAACTGGATGGGTTTTTCTCAATAGAGTTGGGCCTTAGTTTTCTTGAAATTTTTTAGCCCTAATTTTATCTGGTAAAGCAAGTGATGAAATTTTGATTTAATTTTTGCTGTGGTCGAAATTTAACTTCAGTATCCTCTATAACAGTTCAATGAATATATTTGCAGTTTGAGGATGTGGTCTACAAAATTAAAATCAAACAGGAGGGATGTCTGAAGAATCCAAAGTCGGAAGAGAAATTAATTTTGAAGGGTATAACAGGTATCGTGTTCCCCGGAGAAATGCTAGCCATGCTAGGTCCATCTGGCAGTGGCAAAACAACTCTACTGACCGCATTAGGAGGCCGGCTAGGTGGACATCTCGGTGGAAGCATAACTTACAGCGGAAAGCCATTTTCAAACTCGATGAAGCGAAATACAGGCTTTGTCACACAAGATGATACCCTGTATCCTCATCTGACTGTGACAGAAACACTCGTGTATACCGCACTTCTAAGGTTGCCTAATACTATAACTAAACAGGAAAAGATTAACCACGCAGAAGCCGTGATATTTCAGCTTGGATTATCGAGATGCAGGGACAGCATTATAGGTGGTCCATTTCTGAGAGGAGTCTCTGGTGGTGAGCGAAAACGTGTTAGCATTGGGCAAGAAATGCTTATTAATCCAAGTTTGTTGTTTCTTGATGAGCCCACATCAGGCCTTGATTCTACAACGGCTCAAAGGATTGTCCACACATTGTGGGAATTGGCTAATGGAGGTAGAACGATAGTCATGACGATTCACCAGCCATCCAGTAGGCTATTTTATATGTTTCATAAGGTGCTATTGCTATCTGAAGGCAATCCTTTGTATTTCGGGAAGGGTTTGGGAGCCATGGATTACTTTTCGAGTATCGGGTTCACTCCTTCCATTGCTATGAATCCTTCGGATTACCTGTTAGATCTTGCAAATGGTACGTTGAATACATTCTTATGCAGTCCTATATTTGATGTATTTTCTTATATTCTATCAAGAATTAGATAAAACATTTTTTTTTTTTTTCCTTGGGTTGAAACAATCAGTTGATGCTATATTTTAATTTTCTGAAGGAGTTACAACCGATGACTCACGGGATGATCAAGCTGCAACTAAGCAAACTTTGGTATCTGCTTATAAGACTAAACTATTAGAGAGCGTGAAATCAGAACTAGAAATTGAGAGTCAGCTTCAAGAAGCAACGGACAACAAACAGTTTAAGCGATGGTCGACAAGTTGGTGGCAACAATTTTCCGTATTGTCTAGAAGAGGAATGAAGGAAAGAAGGCACGAAATCTTTTCCATCATTAAGATAGTACAAGTCCTAGTGGTATCTTTACTGTGTGGATTATTGTGGTGGCAATCGGACCTTAGTCACATACAAGACCAGGTAACAAAATTTTGCTTCAGATTACAATGCTTAGAAATATTTACTCTCATGAAAAAGAAATTCCAAATTTACGATGTTGTCTATCTTTTCTGAATTGCTATGTTTGACTGTGCTCAAAAAACTTTTTGGAAAGATTTGTTTTGCTAATAAAGAAATTAACTTTGAAAATCATTTCTGAGTTGCTTTTGAGTACAATCAGACGGTCCAAACATGCTCCTAAACTGAAATGAATTTGTGAATTGCTGAACATTGGAACGAGTGCAGGTGGGGCTTTTCTTCTTCTACTCTGGATTTTGGGGTTTCTATCCGCTCTTCCAAGCAATTTTCACGTTTCCCCAAGAACGTATGATGCTACAAAAAGAACGATCTTCAGGAATGTACCGACTTTCATCGTACTTCATGGCACTAACTTTAGGTGATCTGCCAATGGAATTAGTCCTCCCCACAGTCTTTGTCACCATAACCTACTGGATGGCAGGCCTCAAAGCAACGGCAGTGAACTTCTTCTGCGCCTTATTCGTTCTCCTTTACAGTGTATTATGTTCTCAAGGCCTCGGACTCGCCATTGGAGCGTTGGTCATGAACCAAAAATCTGCAACCACACTCGGATCGGTAATCATGCTTTCATTCCTTCTAGTGAGTGGATATTATGTCCAACATGTTCCAAAGTTCATAGGATGGATAAAGTATTTATCTATAACTAATTACACATTCAAGCTCTTGTTGAACTCACAATACAAGCGAGGTGATACGTATCCTTGCGGGTCCAATAAAACTTGTTTGGTCGAGGATTTTCCTTCGGTGAAACCCGTAGGACTTGGTGGAGTTGCTATCTCATTGGTTGCCTTGTCTATAATGCTCGTGGTATACAGATTGATTGCATATCTAGCCCTCATGAGAATTGGTGTTGTAAGGAAATAGAGTGATTTTTCGGGAGTTTCTCCCTGCATTGCTTGACGTAGAAGAGAATAGTATATATATTTCTTTATGTGTAATTTTACTAAAGTCAAGACTGAACTTAGTTGAGTTTATCTCATTCTCGAAGTAGTTTGCCCATGTAATAATCAGTGAACATATCATCGGTGAATTAGCAATTACTTTTGTTCTTAATAATTTCCTATATTTTTTTCTGTTAAATAATATGCTATTTCACTAAATTCATCAAATGTTGTGAGATTAAGACGGCAGAATTTTAACACAATAATTTGGAAGTTTGTCAATGTTACAATGCTTTTTGCAAAAAGTCAAAAACAATACAAGTAATTAACTACCATATAGTGCCAAGGCATTTTTGTTTTATTTTCTGATAGGCGTTCTCAAATGGTGGAAGATATTTTGTTGAAATTTTATAATGTAACAAATATCGAGTCTGGCGTTAAAAGTAGAGTTTTGCCACATGCCAATAGGGAGGGGGACAAGTGTCCCCCTGGAAAAAGCGCCCATGAGAAGAATTACTCTTCAAAGTATGACAATACACGAACTTAGTGTGATTGACATTTTTTTTTTTTTTAATGAAAAATGTCAGTTTTCATCAAAATTTCTACTTTTTAAGTGATTGATTGATAATTTTTTTCATGAAAAATATTTTTCAACTTTTGGTCATGTGACCATATTTTCGTCAAAATCTAAGAAAATATTTTTTTTATGGAGATGTGGTTTTTATTTTTCAGGTAGTTCACTCTCTCTTTCTCTCTCATCTATCCCATTTCTCTTTCATCTACCCACCAATAAAAAGTAAACAAGTATTATAATTTTTAGGTTGAAAATTAAGTTAATCAAACACATTTAATTAATAATTTTCATTAAAAGTTCTAAACAATTCAATTACCTAGAATTTATTCTTTTTTTATACAAATTTCATGCTCGTAATCAAATGCACCCTTATATATTTGTGGTGATTTTGCCCAAGCCCATGTTTGGGGCCAACCCGACTGTCGAGCAAGAGCAGAAGACTATATACCAATGTTAACTTTTAAAACTATTGATATTCCTCAGAGTCCAAACCCAGGATCTAAACGTGGTCTATATTACTTGCTCAAGTAACATCATCTTCCAATTCCTAATATTTTTCCTCCTTCATTTTCCAACAATTTCCAATTTTTGCTCAATTTAGGGCTTCATTTCTTAATCACCTAAAATTAGTTTTAAACAACCAAATATTCAAACTTCCACAATTGGTCAAAAACAACTTACTAAAATAATTTCCAACATAAACAGTGGAATTCAATCAGCACAAATTTTATTCAGCTCATGTTTGGTGAGGATTAAAATCGAATTATTAGTAGATTTTGATAAAAGTTGATGAAATATGTGATTAAGAATTTGTGGGTCATATAAAATATGCAATTAAAATTAATTATTGACTTTGGCTTAAATTACAATTTGAATTTGAATTTCTATCCAATGGGAGCTCTTTACACAAGTTTTGCTTAATGATTGAATTTAAACCCCTAGAAGACACAAGCCCATCATCGAGTTCACGCCTAATCAATGTGAGACTTTGTCCACACTTTCTGTAATCTCAGTCATTTGGACACAAAAGATGAATCCAATTGTAGCTTGTCAAATGTGTTCGGCCATAAGTTAGATCTCGATGGCCGAAAGAATCCATGATTCACTCTCAAGGCGGTTGTTTCCATGCAACGGCGACACCTAAAGCAGGAAATATAGTTGGGTCTTGATGGAATATGTTCTCCTACCTAATTTGAGGAAGAGAGAAAGACTATCGTTTGAGGGGGCTAAGATGATATCTTACTTCCATGGTGATTGTTGAGAAGTGGGAATAAAGTCTTACATCAATTAGCATAAAGTAGAAGATAAACTTAAAAGGAGATTTGCCTATTTTAATATATTAACGTTTTGAGAGAGCCCTTCATATGTCACCTATGATTCTTAATCCGTGATAACTTATTCGAGGCAGCTACAATGATACGATAATTCTCATCACTTAAGATTAATGCCAACAAAGCATGGGTTAACAACGGATATTAAATGAAGTTAAAAAAATTGATCTAATGGTTAAAAAAAGACATATTTGATACGTTGAAAGTATAATTCCATATACATCAACTCCGTGTAAACTATAGTGTGAAAAAATGAATATAATGTTTCTAAAAGTATTTAAGATATCTATTTTTTTTGTTTTCTTTTTATATTTTGTCTAACATTGCAATTCTAGAATGCACGGAACTTAGGAGTCTTGTAAACTATTGATCTACAACGATAATGATGGTTTTGAAAGATAATATTGACAAATCGTCAGTATAATGTGAAAACTAGAATTAGGTTTCTCTCCTCATAACACATATAGATTATATTTAGTATGTAATATTAAGATATATACATTTTACGTAACAACAAATACATTTTGAACTTCTTCTTACTTGATCCAGTCGAGTTCGATATATAAAATACACCGTACGAGGCCACGTGTTTTCTTTGAGGTAAAGCATTGCCAACTTTGCAAGAAGTTAGATAGTTGTGTAAAACTGATTATAGACTTGAAAGTGTCATGCAATTGTGACCTTGCCAGAATCTGTTATGAGAGTGTGGCTATGCATCTTTCTATTGCCGCAATTTCTGGTCTTGTATTCGTTCCAACTTATTTGGCATTATTATATACATCTATACATATAAATATAATGAAAAAATTCAATGTAAAAAAAAAAAAAAAAAAAATCACCATTTTCTCATAGAATGAAGGGTACGAAAACAATAAGAATGATAATAGAGTACAGTGCAAACCTCTAAAAGCATGTTTGGTATAGCTTAAAATTCAGTTAAAATCAATTTTTTGACCATTATTTTACTATTTCAATTGTCATTTTTGAATTCTTCTCTCACGAGTAGGACCCACTTTATCTCTAACGGTCCAAAAATCAATTAACAAAATTCCTACCAAACAAGCACTAAATTAATATGATCCGATCCACATTTATTTATTAATTACCAAATATTATTAATGTGTACAACATCTACTTAAAAAACTATTTAATAAATATTTGCTAATAACGCCATATACTTCTAGATCATACTAATTTAAAGGGTAATTAGCACAAAATGTCTCTACCTTTCATGATTTTTGTGGAAAACATCCATACCTTTTGTTTTTTAGCGCATATCATCCTTACCTTTACCTTTTCTTGTAGAAAACATCATTTTTATCATTTTTCTCAATAAAAGTTATAAAATGACTAATATACCTTTTTATTTAAATAAAAAAAATAAAGAACTAAATGCAATCGTAGTTTTAAATAAATAAATAAATAAATTCTCCACCTCCTCTTTTGAACTTTTTTAAAAATTGGAATTATGATTGTAATTAATTTTTTATTTTTTTATTTAAATAAAAGGGTATATTAGTCATTTATAGCTTTTTATTGAGAAAAATAATGAAAATGATGTTTTGCACAAGAAAATGTAAAAGTAGGGATGAAATGCGCCAAAAAACGAAAAGTAAGGACGTTTTCCACAAAAATCATGAAAGGTATGGACGTTTTGTGCTAATAACCCTAATTTAAACTTATAATGCCCTTTTAAATTCAAAAGGAGAACAAATTATTGTCCATGAGGAAATATCAGATGAAGTTCTTATAACATTTGTATTGTCACAAAATCATCATGAAGAGGAAGTTGAAGAAAGATATGGATGATACCACTTTGTCTGTGTGATTAATTTTTTTGATATTTTATATTAATTACTAGATATCAGAAATATTTAATTGTGCATATAAAAATCTCTCCTCACATGTGATATATAGTACTCGTCCAAACTAAGCAAGGAATTCTCATTTGAATGATTCTCAATCAATATTATTACTTGTACTGAAGTTTACATAAGTCTTCTTTTTGAAGATCCCAGAAATTTCAGGACTTGAAGAAAACTTTGTAATCATCCAGTTTCGTGAAATTTTATTGAATGTCAGAAGTTATTAATTATTGAGATATTAGGTGAAAATGTCACACTGTACAAATGAAACTACACAATAGTTTACAAAATTTATACAATATTTCAGTTTGAAACATATCAACATGAAATTGATCTTTATCTACCATATTATATACATGAATACGCGCTATCCCCCTTCGTTATTCTTTAGAAAAGTTCTTCGAGCAAACCTAGACTTCCTAAACAAATGCTGGCAAGACCACCATAGGCAAGAAGCTGCAATGGCAGGATTCTCTCCTGGAAGAAATTGAGCAGTAGCGCATGTGTATGCCTTTTCTATTTTTGACGTAGCATCTATTAAGTTTAAAATAACAGTCCATCCACTCTGGATGAACTCGACTTCCTTTGAGCTATGAGAAATTAAGAGGGTTTAATTCTATCGTTAACAAAGAAACCTACCTTTTTGTCTTTATCCAAGATGTATGGAATGCCTCACCCCGATCAGTGATAAAAATTTAGGAATGAATACAGCCATACATGGAGATATCCTATCTCAAGGGTTCTCGGTAAGATCATATAGAAGTAGCCAAATCAAAATCGTCGTCTCTCCCTTGCTAATCCAACATGGGTCAAGCTAACTTCTTGATTGACATCTGATTCATGTAATTCACGATAAATAGGACAAATCAATCTAATTCGAAGTAAGCAAGAAAGTAACTCCCCGTTCCAAACCATATTTTGGAGGCTAGTAAATGAAAAACAAAGTCAGTGACACATAATCGAAACTCGTTTGATTGGAACAAATTTTAGAGAACAAACTTATGCAATGTTTTTGACTTGGCATATACTCCAAAATCCAAATCAACCCATGCTGCCCTATTGTTTTCACTCTATTGTTACCCCTAAAATCATAAAAAATTAAATTAATTTCAAAATATTGATTTTTTAATGATAAAACAAATGTTTGGACACTTCGAAAAATACAAAGTTACATTTGTTATTAAACATGTAAAGTCACAAGGAACATGTAACAAAAAGTCACAGTATATATTGTGCACATGTTTGTTTACTTATTTTTATAAAGAGCGAGTAAGGTTTTCCAAAAGCAGATTGTTACCTCATTCTCACATGTCGTCAAAAAGATCTTGACTTCAAGCTTATGCAAATCACATGTGGTGTATTATTTTGTAAATATTGAATGATTACTTCGTTTAAAAATTATACTTATATAATATTACATCAAAAAAACATGTGTATGACGTGGTTGAGAGCGTAAACAAGATTGAATATTAATTTTAAACAATTTTTCGTGCATGATTAATGCTTACGATCTTGAGGTTCCAAAGAACAAAACTTCAATCAATCCCGAGATAGCTTACAAAAAGTTTACAAAACAAAATAATAAAACCCACGATAACGCAGATGACCAAAACCACTTAAAATAATATAATATAATAAAATAATAATTTAATTTATTTATTATTGCTGCTGGAAAACGCCCATGGAAATATAAGATTAAGTACGGATAAGAGAATGTCGAGACGTTGTAGAGTGTCTGTCAAGATATTGTTGTATCCTTTGTCACATTCTAGAATGTCATAACCCTTATGTCGGTCAAATTTATTAAAATCAAACTTACTATTTATTTTTTTTAAGATTAATTTCTAGTGATCATTTTACTATAATAAAAGGGGATTATATCATTTGATTGGATGAAAGCTGAATAATAATAATTCGATATTTGTTTTTATGTTGGCTGAGCGGGATCCACAAAAGAAGAAAAGACAACAGAAGAATTACATTGAAAAAGTTGACATAGATGTACGATATTTTAAACATGCAATGAAATTAATTAGAATAAGACATAAAGTCAGTTAATATGAATTTAAAATATATCGATGAAATCACGATTGTCCTCAAAATAAATTTGCCTTTTTCAATATATTATTTATTTTGAAAGTAACTAATTACTATTTTGCATAAAAGTAAGGAAATTTTTATTTATTTAAATACAGTTAGAAACAAAATCAATTATAATTAGCTAAAAAAATTTGGTAACTTTACAATGATATAGTTTTCATATTTTTGGATATTTATATAGAAGGGTACATTAAATCTAATTTGACCTATTCTTCGATTCTTAATCGTTGAACTAAACATGATTGTAAAGTAAAGTATGTCCTTGCTATCGTAAACGACGTAAAATAAATAAATAAATCACGGAGTCAGTGAATTAATCGATAATAGTTTAAATAGTTAGATATCTATGAATAATTAATGGTCATTGTGAACTTGTGATTAAATTTGAACATGGATTATGTGGTGTCAAGTGGGACCCATTAGGGCCCATGTGGACATAAATGTTACACATCAGTATTTCAATACTATAAATATGGATTACAAGAATTGATACCAATTGGGAATCTGTCCATAACGAAACCAGCAGTAGAACCCCACTTATTCCATTGAGATTTTTGTAGAGAAGCTGACATTAAACTGTGAAAAATGATCTACATACTTGCAATTTTGGCTCATCTTTAAGAAAAAAAAAATTTACTTATAAGTAGGTTTAGTTCTAAGTAAATTATAAATTTAAAAAAAAATTAATTGTAACTAGAAACGGAAAAGTAGTATTGTAAATATTTATTTATGAATTAAAGTTAAAAATAAGTAACTTTTTAAAATAAACATACAGAGTTGCAAGATTATTGAGGCTGGCGTGTGAGATGCAATAGAAAATTTACAGAATATCTTATTCTTATCACGACTTTAATCACAAAAAGATTTGAGCGACAAAAAAATTTCTCTAATTAAGGGGAGTGTCGCTGTGATTTTTTTGCATGTCTCGAAAGCGTGTGACATTTGAAGCAATATTTCATCCCACTCCAAACTTATCTTCGTTTTATCAATTAGAATATTGCTTTGTGGGACCCACACAAATCTCCATACGTGTCGCCTCCACATGGTTTTTGGAAACACCATGAACAATTAATCAATACAGAGATAATTTTTTGGTTATGCTAAATGACTGAAGAGCGTGTTTGGCTAATCTTATAAGTATGTCAAATTTAATCTTTGGTAAATTTTTAGATTCAGTGTGTTGCCTACTTCTTAATTTTAAGTAAAACAATTAGCATGTGTGCCAAAGCTTATAAGTAGCTCATTCTTAATTTTTTTTTTTTCGATGTTATATCATCGGCAAGCGTGCATTTACTCCAAAATTTAGCTCAACTTATAAGTAACTTTTGTCGGTCTTGCTTAGGTAATAAATGCATTCTTGCTTCAACTAAGAGCAAAAAAGCTAGAATCAACTACTTATAAGATTGTCAAAATGTGTTAAAACTAATTACTTATTTCACTTTCACACCATATTAATCAAAATTTCAAGATTAACCAAACATGATCTATGACATGTCACAATACAATTGATCGGTGAGCTTTCTTTATTTAAGTACCTGTGATTGATGAATGTGCCATAACACGATGGACCGTATACCAATATAACTTGGCTAGCTGGCCAACATTTCAGCTTATTGTATTTTCTTGATTGTACTCTACTGCTCTGATAAATTTCCAAAAATCCAACAATTTGCAAGGAAATCTTGATATACACACATAGATAAATAGAGAAAGATGAATAAATCGATGGAGAGCCCAGATTCATCCACCGGTGGTTCACAGCAGCCTCAGTTGCCACCAGGGTTCCGCTTCCACCCCACGGATGAGGAACTGGTAGTCCACTACCTCAAGAAGAAGGCGGCTGCCGCCCCTCTCCCGGTGTCCATTATAGCTGAAGTTGATCTATACAAATTTGATCCATGGGAGCTCCCAGGTAACAAAATCTTTTACACACTTGCATGTTTTAGATTCTTTTGTTCCTGAAACCTTTTTTTTTTCCCCCTCCCCCAGCTAAGGCTGCGTTTGGAGAGCAAGAGTGGTACTTTTTCAGTCCGAGGGACAGGAAGTACCCTAACGGGGCTCGACCGAATCGAGCAGCGACTTCTGGATATTGGAAGGCCACCGGAACTGATAAGCCTATTTTGACTGCAGGAGGGACTCAGAAAGTAGGGGTCAAAAAAGCTCTGGTTTTCTATGGAGGAAAGCCTCCCAAAGGGATTAAAACTAATTGGATCATGCATGAATACAGACTTCCCGACAATAAACTGAACACAAAGACTCCTGGCAGTGATTTTGTTGCCAGCAAAAAGGGCTCTCTAAGGGTCAAATAACCAACCTCTTAATCTGTTTTTCAGTTTGTTTTTTTTCTTCTTCTATTTTTTTGGTTGACGTTGGGTTCTTGATGCGTGATTTTCAGCTTGATGATTGGGTTTTATGCCGGATTTACCAGAAGAATAATTCACAAAGGCCTATAGATCAAGAAATAGGGGATGATCTGATAGGATCATTGGCTATTGGTCAACAGAACCTGCAGCATCAACAGGGAATCAAGTTCTCAAACTATGGCGGATTACTCGAAAATATTGAACACAACATGTTCGATGGAATGAATAACAGTGCAGTTGATGCAATGAACACTGGCCAATTTTCTCTGTCAGCCTCAAAACCACAGCTTCCAATGGTACTCACAACAGCTTCAAGTACCTGTATACTTCAAGGGAAGAGGACAATTCCGAATCAGTACTGGAATGACGAAGAAGTAGAAGCAAATTCGCGTACAAGCAAGAAATTTCTTTCAGAAAATTGCGATGGAATAAGCATAGCCTGCAGCAGCGCAGATGAAACCAATTCTATTGCCACCATCTTCAGCCAGCTTCCACAAAACCCTTCACAGTCACAGCCAATGATGGGATCTCTTGGTGAAGGCGTTTTTCGCCGGCCGTATCAAGCTACTGGCATGAATTGGTATGCATAAATCAAGACTCGAAGCCGATTTGCTCGATAAAAGGTTACTAGAGTCACTGCCAATGCTGGGATCTCTTGTTTAATTATATGTATATCTTTGATTACTAGAGTGAAATAATATTGTGTAGAATTCACAGAAATTAGAGATATAGAACCCAATATTACTATTTGAAGACCTGCAGAAAATCCTTTTTTGTTCATTACTGTTGCTTGTTGTATGAATTGAAAGATATATATTAAAAAAAATATTGGAATTTATGTCATTAGTTTTTGTTCTTTAATTATTAATTACTCCATGTATGCCTTCCTAATTAATTCAATTATTTCATTTTGATAATTGTTTTTGAGTTGAAAACTGAAGTCAGATGTGAGTTTTCAGGGTTCTTTACAAAAACCCTAAAACTACATCTATAATTTTACTTCTTCTTCTTCTTCTTCTTTTTTTTCGGTAGCAAGAAATGATGAATTTACATATATAAAATAAAATTTTGCTCATATTATGATTAAAAATTGTTCTTTTTGAAAACTTGATGATCTATTTTTATTTATTAGAAAGAGAATAAAAATAATCATTAACTTTCTTGTTTGTAAAATGAAATACGGGCTACCTAACTAAAACATATTCACATTTTCTTTTTCTTTTTTTGTTAAGTTTGTGAAGGAAAAGATAGTATAATTCCCTAATGGCATTATTTGATTTAATATGGTGAACGATAAAGTACACTTGAAAAGTATTTAGTACGTTTAATAATATATTTAAATAACTATATTTCATAATATTGATCAATCGTGCTAAATAACGCAAAAAGTATGGTCGACCTTGAAAAATCGAGGAAACAAAAACAAATAATTGGCTAAGTATGGGCACCATCAAGTTATCAATTGCTATTACCCGATACACTTGTTGAGCTGCACTTCCATTGGAAAGCAACCTCAAATGAGTCTTTATGCAAGTATATATTCACATGCCATTATTTTCTTGATGATGAAAGACAAGCTAGGCATGGTAAAAACAACTTTTGATTTTAGTATAATTGGGAATTAGAAACTTAAAGCTCGTTTGGGAGAGATTTTTCTTAAGTGAAGAAAATTTTTTTGAGAAACTGTGATTAAAAAATAGTGAACGTTGTGAGTTTCATAAAATGTTGGGTTGAAAATGATTTAAAAAATAATAATTTACAAAAATCTCTCCCAAACTAGCCCTTAATTAAGTTTGAGAATTAAACAAGTTAAATGATTTATGTACCATCTCTCTTTTGATGACATTTTGGAGTGGAAAGGCATCATTATCTTAAATTTATTATCGTTAATTGCATTCCTTATTAAGTAAAGAGTTAAAACTACTTTATTATTTCATTTGACTTCACAATGCTTGATATGGCAATCGATAATGCGATGATGGAGATGCACTAGAGAAATATCTAATGAACCTTTTACAAGGCTAAGATATTCTTTTATCAAAAGGATGGAATTCAGCTTAAATTTAGATACATATTCAGAAATTTTTGCAACTGATCGTACAAATTAACTAACTCAAATAATAGATAATGTCGATGAAAAGTGAATTCAATAAATATTTTCCTTTGTATATGTATGTTCATCTTGCAAAGAAAAGTGTTATTATGTACTGGATCTTAATTTTCGGTCATTCTCGTAATGAAAGATCTTGAATTCTATTATGATAACCAGTGACGGAGCCAAGACTCGGATTCAACAGACTTAATTTAGTTGCGGAAAAAATTACAAGAAAAAAAACATAATAATATTAAATAATAATAAAAAGTTACAAATGTTTTTTGGGCCATATTACACATACATCAGAGTGTTCATAACAGTGTTCTATCTCACATGGAGGGATATCCACTTCGAATAAAATATAATTTATTCGAAGTGAATTCCCCTCTATGTAAAGAAGATGAACACCGTTATAGACACCGCATTATGTACGAGTAGTATATTCCTTCTTCTTTTTTTCCCAAATTTCAAGTGGTAACCAGGACTGCAGTGGGGACCCACCTCCTTCCACCGCACTATTTATTTTTTCAGCATTTAGAATTTTGGAGTTATGGTTCATGCATGCAAATGAATGCTTGTTTGAATAAATTTTTCCGCGGTGTGACAGAAAGGATAAAAATGAAAATCTACAATAGCTAACCAGCTGTTGACACGCTAAAAATACAGTCAAAATCGTATAGCCCAAAGAATGAAACCCAACTGGGCAATTCAGGATAAAGGCCCGAATAGGGCTATCAATGAATGCAGTGGAAGCCCACGAACGCGGTTACACCATCGCCCAAACTTGCAAGACGCCTAAGATCTAAGCAAATGAAGTGCCTTGCAGTCGCCCAGAGTTATGACCCTGTTCTCGCCCAAATTTCGAATCGCCCAGGATCTTAGCAAACATAAGATGTTATAGTTATACAAAAGTGCAGTTATCGAAGCAGTTATTGGGTAATCTTATCACGTTCCACGATTCAAGGATGTTCAGTTGAAGACGGTTGAACGACAAAGAATAGTTGCAGCAGTTAGGGACGGCACTTCCACGATAAGTTGGCCACCATGAAGAAGTGGGCAGTTATAAAGCAATTAAGCGGTTTTTAAGCGGTTGATCACGAAGAGATCATCAAGGGAATATAAAAGGAAGAAAAGCCATAGAGCAAAGGACCCCGAATCAAACACTCTCAAACAGAGAATATGTAATTTCAATTCCTTAATTTAGACTTAAAATATTTCTTTTCAGTACTCGTGTGCCTGCGCTCCTTGGAGACATTCTGTTTAAATTCCAATTGTAAAGTCATCACCAATAAAACATCCCTTTTGGGACTTTGTCTCAAGAGATTTGTTCCTTACACAATCGTCTGATCCCTTTTTAATTGTTAGCGACAACCCACGTGAAACACCAGCCAATAATCTTTACATGGATTGGAGACATAATTAGCTTTGGTGGATATTAAAATCAATTCTTTAGTGATTTTATAATAAAAAATAATAATGAAATGTTCTATTGAAAAGTTGTTGGTGATTCTTATGAAGTGTGTGGATACAATTAATTGTTGACTTTAACTTAAATTTTAATCATAATTTTTAGTGGTACCAAACGGGGGCTTATTTTTGAAAATAAAGGTACTAAACATCTTTTAAGTTCTCATTTTGCGGATTTGTATAATAAGGTATCAGCAAGTCATGATTAAGCCTCCGTTTGGCTCCCTTTAAAACTCATTCATTTAATTTAAATTTTTCTCTCTTTTATTGTCAACCACACAATTTTTAATAAAATATTATTACACGTAAATTGAAAAATTTTCATTCTTTTACAACCATCCATTTTTCAAAAAATCACTATTCCTCCAATTATAAATCCAAATAATGGGGGTCAAACAGGAGCTAAAACTAATCACAATTAATTGAAACCAGCGTTCTAAAATAACGTAAAACGTAATTAGGAGTGAATCTCAAGTTTCATACTTTACGAGCCTAGGCAAAGACATAAAAAAGCATTACTCGCCTTTATTATTATTATTTTAAATACTTAATCATTCTAAAAATTATTTAATAATTAAAATAATATTGTGTAGAATTCACAGAAACTAGAGATATAGAACCCAATATTACTATTTGAAGACCTGCAGAAAATCCTTTTTTGTTCATTACTGTTGCTTGTTGTATGAATTGAAAAATATATATTAAAAAAATATTGGAATTTATGTCATTAATTTTTGTTCATTAATTATTAATTACTCCATGTATGCCTTCCTAATTAATTCAATTAATTCATTTTGATAATTGTTTTTTGAGTCTTTAAAACTGAAGTCAGATGTGAGTTTTCAGGGTTCTTTACAAAAACCCTAAAACTACATCTATATTTTTACAACTTCCTTTTTTTTTTTTTTTCTCTCTTTCTTTTGGTTAGCAAGAAATGATGAATTTACATATATAAAATAAAAGTTTGCTCATATTATGATTAAAAATTGTTCTTTTTGAAAATTTGATGATCTATTTTTATTTATTAGAAAGAGAATAAAAATAATCATTAACCTTTTTTTTTTTTTTTTTTTTTTTGGGTAAAATGAAATATGGGCTACCTAACTAAAACATATTCCCATTATCTTTTCTTTTTTGGTTAAGTTCGTGAAGGACAAGATAATATAATTCCCTAATGGCATTATTTGATTTAATATGGTGAATGATAAAGTACACTTGAGAAATACTTAGTACGTTGAATAATATATTTAAATAACTATATTTCATAATATTGATCAATCCTGCTAAATAAAGTAAAAAATATGGTCGACCTTGAAAATACCTTGAAAATTCGAGGAAACAAAAACAAATAATTGGCTGAGTATGGGCACCATCAAGTTATCAATTGCTATTACCCGATACACTTGTTGAGCTGCACTTCCATTGGAAAGCAACCTCAAATGAGTCTTTGTGCATGTATATATTCACATGCCATCATTTTCTTGATGATGAAAGACAAGCTAGGCATGGTAAAAACAACTTTTGATTTTAGTATTATTAGGAATTAGAAACTTAAAGATCGTTTGGGGGAGATTTTTCTTAAGTGAAGATGAATTTTTTGAGAAAGTGGGATTAAAAAATAGTGAACGTTATGAGTTTCATAAAATGTGGGGTTGAAAATGATTTAAAAAATAATAATTTACAAAATCTCTCCCAAACAAGCCCGTAATTAAGTTTGAGAATTAAACAAGTTAAATGATTTATGTACCATCTCTCTTTTGATGACATTTTGGAGTGGAAAGGCATCATTATCTTAAATTTATTATCGTTAATTGCATTCCTTATTAAGTAAAGAGTTAAAACTACTTTATTATTTCATTTGACTTCACAATGCTTGATATGGCAATCGATAATGCGATGATGGAGATGCACTAGAGAAATATCTAATGAACCTTTTACAAGGCTAAGATATTCTTTTATCAAAAGGATGGAATTCAGCTTAAATTTAGATACATATTCAGAAATTTTTGCAACTGATCGAACAAATTAACTAACTCAAATAATAGATAATGTCGATGAAAACTGAATTCAATAAGAATTTTCCTTTGTATATGTATGTTCATCTTGCAAAGAAAAGAGCAAAATGTTATTATGTACCGGATCTTAATTTTCAGTCATTCTCGTAATGAGAGATCATGAATTCTACTATGATAACCAGTGACGGAACCAAGACTCAAATTCAACAGACTTAATTTAGTTGCGGAAAAAATTACTAGAAAAAAAAACAAAATAATATTAAATAATAATAAAAAGTTACAAATGTTTTTTGGGTCATGTTACACATACATCAGAGTGTTCATAACAGTGTTCACCTATTTATTTTTTCAGCATTTAGAATTTTGGAGTAATAGTTCATGCATGCAAATGAATGCCTGTTCGAATTAATTTTTCCGCGGTGTGACAGAAAGCATAAAAATGAAAATCTACAATAGCTAACCAGCCAATAATCTTTACATACATTGGGGACATAATTAGCTTTGGTGGAGATTAAAATCAATTCTTCATTGGATTTTGATAATAAAAATAATAATAATAATGATGATGAATTGTTCTATTGAAAAGTTGTTGGTGACTCTTATGAAATGTGTGGATACAATTAATTATTGACTTTAACTTAAATTTTAATCAAAATTTTTAGTGGTACCAAACGGGGGCTTATTTTTGAAAATAAAGGTAATAAACATCTTTAAGTTCTCATTCGCAGATTTGTATAATAACGTTTCAGCAAGTCATAATTAAAACTAATCACAATTAAAGAATTAGCCCTATAATATATTTTGGGATCTTAGACATTGTAAACACATCAAAATGAACCAAGCATACTTGGTTTGTACCTGTAAAGATAGATATAAAATCAGATTTTTACTACAAATGATCACCTCATGCTTGGAATATTTGTCATTTTAACACTCAATTTCTTTAACCTTAAGGCATGATCTCGTGTAGGATGGATATAGATATCTTATAAGGCACAAAGAAACCCAAATACAATGGTAGAAAGGTCAAATATTGCAGTAAGAAGCCACCTCCAACTTAGACAGCTCATGTTAGGAGACTTATCACTTTAATATATAATTGCTTCAACCGTAAAGCATCCAGCACGTCTTCTAAATCATTAGAACTTTATATGGGATAGTCATGCATCTCCTAAGTCACAAATGACTCCATATTAGGTAGGAGAAAAGTCAAATTTGGCTGCAAGGAGCCACATCCTGCTTGGACACCTCATGCTTGAGGAATACTTATCTTGTAATCACAAATTCCTTTACCTTTAAGTATCACTCACGACCCCAATCCTTAAAACTCCTTAAATAGCTCCTAAATAAGATATACGACTCTGCAAAGATAACCCCAAGTGAACGTGAAAGCAAAGGAAGCAAAAATGGATAAGAAAATATGAAGCTGGAATTTCTGGACGGCCTTGTTACTTCACGGTTTTGAGGTTTGTATCCATTATTTCTTAAGAGGTTTATAATTTTTTGAACATCTGAACTTGCTTGCGATTAGGTTGGAGTGTTGTTAATGATTTTATGATGCTAAAATAGGGTTAATTAATTACAAAAACTTGAGGAAAAAAACCTGAGTAGAGATGTAGGTTGCTGGATTTGAGTGGTTTATACCTTGTTTTAGGATGATATTTAGTGTGTAATTTATATCTATCAATATGAATATTTTTATATGTAAGCATGGATGCAAACCTCAAAACCGTGAAGTAACAAAGCTGTCCAGAAATTCCAGTTTCTTTTTTCTATTTCTCTTTAGCTCTTTCACCCTCTTTTTCACTTGGAATCACTTGGAGACGAGCTAAGGGAGTTAATATATTATTTAGGAGATAAATGAGTGGTCTTTAAGTGGTTGAGGTCGTGTATATTGCTTAAGGATTAAGGATATTATGGGATGCAGCCACATCAAGCTACTTTGGTGAGTAATAAGTAGGAGGTGGCTTCTTGCTGCAATATTTGACATTTCTACCATTGTATTTGGATTTTTTTATGCCTTATAAGATATCTATATCCATCCTACACGAGATCATGCCTAAGGTTAAAGAAATTGAGTGTTAAAATGACAAATATCCCAAGCATGAGGTGGTCACTTGTAGTAAAAATCTGATTTTATATCTATCTTTGCAGGTACAAATCAAGTATCCTTGGCTTATTTTGACGTGTTTACAATCTACTTCACTTGTCCTAATATCCCAAAATATATTATAGGGCTAATTCATCAACCGTTCATTTAATTTCTTACTCTATTGACACCCGATTGTCAACCGATATCAACAATTTCTTACTACTTCACTAGTAAAATGAAAATCGAAAATAGTCACAAGAAAAGAAAACTGCCTGATTTGGTGTGGTGAAAAATGGACGATTTATGAGGCTGAAAACACTTCATTTGTCACAACTTTAGATCATAATTACCTTCATATACATGTTATAGAAGTGTGGTAAAAATTTGGGAGTCGTTGGATATAGTTAAAGGGGTGAAGAAGGATTGGAAAAATAATTGGACAGTAATAGAAAATCTAAAAACAGATTCTGTCCGTTTGGGTATTTAATGTGATTTCAACATTTATATGTCCATTAATGATCTCTTGGGTCTAGAAAATAGATTCTAAGGAGTACTAAGTTAATGACAACAATTAGATGACGTTGACGTTCATAATTGGACTCGAGAAATAACAAGACTTATGAGACTAGTTTGTAATGTCATTAGTAACTTGAAATAATGATTTTATCTGATTTGTTTTGGTGTGAATGGACGTATTTTGGGGTTGTGTGTGTTAAGATTATTAAATGGAGGATTGTCTTTAATATTATATAGTAATACAGGTAATTTTTCTACGTTGAGCAAAAAAAGAAATTGATATACACTCCGTAAGAACTTGAACACACAAAAGCGAAAGGTAACCAAAAATCTATTTGCAATTACGATGCAAGAACCTAGTAATTGTGAAGTGGTAATATTAGAAGATTTACATAGCTTCGATAAGAAGTTCATTGTACATCATATGATGGTTATGATCGTTGAGTATGAGGTTGTGGAACCTATTGACATGAATTTTCTTTAAATATGTCATTCATGAGCATTTTCATATGCATGCACGACATGTGACATTATTGAAAATCTTGCATGCGAAACATGATTTCAAAGTGAGTTTTCTTTATAAATATTTTATTGACCACTACTAGGGCGTCGAAACATGTGAGGTATGCTTATGTAATATCTTTGGCATAGTGGGTGATCCTTCCTCGGTGATTGCAAAGGTAGGTAGGGGATAGGCCTTTGGTGATCACGGGAGGGTGAACCACTCGACTGTGCCCTTGTAATATTATGATTATTGGCACTGCCGGATGAAAGACTTCTTGGGTGATCATAGGGTAGTTAGGGGATGGGCCTCTAATAGTCACGAGAGAATGATCCACTCGCCGATGTCGAATTCATATTGGTTATTTGATTATTGATATTGATATTGATATTAACGGTCCTAAGGTAGCGAAATTCCTTGTCGGGTAAGTTCCGACCAGCACGAAAATCAGAGTTCTAAAATAACGTAAAACGTAATTAGGCGTGAATGTTAACTTTCAAACTTTACGAGTCTAGGCAAAGGTTAGACATAAAAAAGCATTACTCACTTTTATTATTATTTTAAATACTTAATTATTCTAAAAATTATTTAATAATTAAAACAATACATACCAAATATCTAAAATTATAAAATACTATATTTATTTAATAATTCATACAATTAGTCAATTATATAATTTTCAAGTTTCCGAAATGTAAAATTTGGACTATTTTTCATAATTTCAACTTTCAAGTAAACAAATCATACTTAACAAATTTATAGGAATTTCATATATATTTTAGAAGATTTCAATAAAACTATAAGTTTCAAAGTCATAAATGAGCCATGCTTGCTTGTACACAACCATCCTAATTCATCATAAATACATAATATAGATGGTATCATAACTTCAATCTTATCTAAATCTTTATCGGATAAATTCATTTTTTACATTTATATAAATAAAGTCATTTAAAAACTTGAAACTAAAGTCAAATAAAAACATTTTAATACAAGAAAAAATGAAAATAAAAAATAAAAAGTTTATAAGCTAAAATCAAATAAAAAGTTTTCCAAAAAAAATAATAATAAAACAAACCTAAACACACTTAGAGGCACATTAAGCAGTCAACTACTAAATTAACTGCTTAATTTACTCTTACTGCCAAGGCAAAGCATTTTGCTCACGCTTCTTCTAGACACCCTTCGTAGAACACTGATTGAAACTATTTAATGTCTTGGAAATTGAGTTTTTTCTTTACTAAATATTTAGAATCGAGGCCTATGTTCATAAAGTGTTTATATATACTCAAATCACTTGTATCCACACATTTAAAGGGATCACAGGTGCTATGATCATACAAAATTGTTATTGAATTTTTCATTTCTTGTTCAGTTCTGAAAATTAGGTCCCTAATACGAAGAGTAAAATTAGAAAAATATCCAAGAGATTAGGGGGCCCTATTATCTTAGCCCAGTTTTTCAGCGACTCCAAGCCCCCAATCAATGTGGGATTTTCTGGAGCCAAACTGTTGTTTCTCCAAGTTCCATCAGCAAAGGAGAACATGCAAGTTCGACAAACTGAAGCCTCTTTGTTGTTTCTCCAAGTTCCATCAGCAAAGGAGAAAATGCAAATTCGAAAAACTGAAGCTTCTTTTTTGTTCTTTCCATTCTCGCATTGGAAACTCAACGGCTAAGAACAATATTAAAGAGAAATGAGTTAAAATCTTGTCTGTTCTACTTACCAGTTTTATCCAATATTTCGTACTAAATATGTTCCATCTTCTGTGTTCTTCCATCTGTATATATCTACTAGAATGCACGTTTAGACCAGAGAAAAAGAAAAGGCAAGTGGAAATTCCCACTATAACATTATGAACACTTTACATTGTTGGCATGACTAGTTAAATTACATTTTTCAGGTCACAAACAGACAAGCAAAAGATCTAAACATGAAGGAAATACAGAATTTACACTCAGATCACTCCTTGCATCCTTAGTAACTACGTACAGATGGCCTCCATTATCTCCATGCAATCGAGGCTAGGATAACCATTCTATGTCGCTTCACCCTGTCTCGGTTTGTATATTTGATCAAACCTTAGCAGACACAACAGGGAAAAGAGGCAACGGGTTAGAATTACATATTTAGTAGCGAAAGTCGCATGCATCATAAATCAAACACTTGGCATACCTCAGGCGGAACTTTTGATGATGCATCCATATTAGCTTCAGCAGGTACATCAGAGATGCGGGCTTCTGATTTCTCGTTTGAATAACTGCCACATTATATTCCGAAAGAAATTAGGATTCCCGTTCTACCACATTGAGTTAGTCACCGGATTCCTAATTTCTCCACCTCACGCATTGAAAAAAAATAAACAAATAAAAATAAAAACTAAGTGCATAGTGCATGTTTGGTATACGTCGGTATTAATATGACTTATTTTTCTTAGCCTAACATTGCCTAATCCACCTACCCAAACATACTGAAATTTGCAGCCTAACATAACTAGAAATAAAAGCTCACTTAAGACATCATGCTTACGTCGATAGTATCGTCACCCAAATGAGCTCCACACAGTCGACCCAAAGAAGCCTTTGTTCAACAGGGATCGCACCGTAGGTAATGAGATGAGCAAAAGGCCAAAGCTTCCAACCCGCCTGAAAAAAAAAAGCCAATGTTCAATAACACTGTTAGAATGCATATCAAATTTTCACTGTGCAGTGAGGAAAAAAAATATAGTTTTTACTTGAACTTGAGAAGACAAAGGTATTGCCAATACGTCATGACAGAAAGGAGTGAACAAATTATGGAATGTTTATGATGATTAGCTCAAATCTACTGAAGCGACATAGTTTACCAATTCAGAGTACAAAGGAAGGGCTCAATCACCTCAGCTAAAAGATATCTAAAAGCAAAATAGGAGAAAAATTTTAAATGGGTAGCAGAGAGACTTGAACTCGTATCTTTTCTCTAATCTAGTATACACCTGACATTTAAAAGCTTGTGCTGTTAGAAAGGGGACAAAGTTATTTATCTAAATTGTTTTCAACAGTGTCACGTGAGTAAACCAGTCGCAGATAATTTGTTGTGCACATCATAAGTGAAAAAAGTTCAGGAATTTTAAAGCTTCAAGCTTATGGTTAAGTTAAAAATAAAAACACAGAGAAAACAATTAAGAAACTTCATAGCTAACAATAAATTATATCCATATACTGCAGACATCTATTGATGCTCAATCCCACCATGCAGAACTCTTCAAATAGATCAGAAAATAGAAGTTTGCTATAATTAATTTTCTTTGGGATTTATATTTACTCGTTCAAGAAAAGGAAGTAGTCTTACAGTTAACATGGGCCAGAATGTAGCTGTTAATTCATTAAAAATGTTTATGGGGGATTCAAGACGGAGAACTCCTAATACTGTAAAGTAAATACTGTTCCAAACTGCAGACCATGCCGTTTGATCAAATGCTACTTTCACAGGAACCACCCACCAATCGTCAAAAGGAAATAAAGCCTGGAAAAGGAGACACGTTTGTCAAATAATTAGCGAGGAAAATAAGTGAATCACAAGAATATTCGAGGCAGAAGATATTGAAACTGCAATAATTACCTCACAGAACTGATAGTAATAATGGGAAAGGGATCCATGCAGTGTAAAGCCAACTAACCCAGATCTGAACGTGCGAGCACGGTCAAACTCAAACAGAGGTTTTCCTTCGTAACACTGCAAAAAATATCACGTTAACTCATTAACAGCCGATAAGACTTCACTAAAATCAACAAATAAAAGAGCTGTTAGCATTTTAATAAGAGAAAATTTTAACTAACCTGTGCAATCCAATCCCCCACGGAATACACCACTCCGCTTATTACCATTTTTGCTAAGACAGGGTTTGCTTTAAGAGCTTCCTCATATGCACTCCAGTTGTGTTGTGGTGCGTATCTCAGTATTTCATAGAGGGTCCATCCCTGAACAAACAAACAAAATGAGTACAATCTTATACGTAAAACCCAGTCAATATATGTATACAGGTATAATAAAATAATTTCGAACAGAGGCACACCCAAGTTGATGAATATATGTAATTATGTAAGCCAGTTGAAAGACTCAAGCACAAATAGGAGAGAAGGAAGTGGAGAAAACCCGTGTCGACTTGGTGCATGCAAGAAAATGATAATATTCATACACTCACATCACCTGAAACCATGAAGAAAATGCAAAATATACTAGAAAACTTTTCCAAGATATTTGCATGTACATAGATATACTTACAACCATATTGGACCGAAAAATATATTTATCTATGCTCCAATACAACATATAGGGCTCCATACAGTTCAAATGTTGGTATTACTTCAAGGAATATAAACATTAAAAAGTTCTATAAAACCACATGACAACAACGGAAGAAAAGATCACACAAAATTTCCTCTTCAATAGTTTATTAAAGCTTGCAAGCTCTTAGAGGTAAATGGCATCACGATCTGAAAAAAATACATTTCAGGTTCCAGTAAGCTCTTTAAAAGAAAATGCTAAAGAAGCCTGGTACAAGCAATTATATCAGCTTATAATAGAGAACCCTGGCATGAGAATTAAGCTCAGTAATACAGGTTTCAAGATATGTCCAAAAATGCAACCCTCAAGGAAAACTAATATGCCACAGTAACAGTTGAGAGGAATATCCAATAAGCAATATCTAAGCAAGCAGAAATTTCCCACTGTTTTGCACAATTGACAAGAGCATACATCTAGGGTCAACTATAATCTCAAAAATCAGTAATTTCAGGTAGTACCTCTAAGAAGTAAAAATTTTATCACTCAACCAGTAAGGTTCTATATAGACATAATATCCCGCAAGCAAAGGAATGTTTTGTTCGTAGTTTTCTGCATTGAAGTATATCACTTTTTTATACATCAGCTATCAATTCTTTGTCCTCATTCTGTATTTGAAATCCATTTTCCTTATATCCAGATGAGCTCCTTTCCCTTTAAGAATCAGATCAACTCATAATTGGCAATCTACTTACCTATATCTCCCCTGAACAGTCCATTGAGCATGTAAGAGGAGTTGTAATTGTAGAGATACTTCGTTATTTATCAGTTACTGGACAAACAAATACAGCCCACCAGTAACAGTCAAGAGAAAATATTCAATATCTGATCGACGAAAAATTGTCACCAGAAAACCTATCACATTCCATAAGAGCACAAGTGAGGGGCAAGCAATAACCTCTTATTCCAGTAATTGAGCCTAGAAATCTAAGAAATAATAACGTGGGGAGAATACAAACAAAGGGGTGAAATGGAAACGAGATTGGCAAAGTCTCATCTCAATAATCAAGGACTCAAGAATGATTCCAATTTCAATCTGCTAAACTTATAACAAAATTCGTATAAAGACTCAATTTTGCATACTCTATATGTATAGAGAATTAATTCTTCAAAGGCCGGATTCACATACACATAAGGAATAACAAGTCTCAACAATATGCCAAGAAAATCAACACAAATGTCACCCACAATCCACACAAAAATGTTATAAATTAACTTCAAACTTCACAAAATAAAAGCAAATTATAAGATAATTCCACTCACATGCCAATAATCACGATCTATAGTGAGCAACTTTGAGATAGCAAAAGTTCCTGCAGCCAAGACAATGGTGGCATTAATAATCCTATCAATAAGCCTCTGCATATCCACTTCTTCATCATCGCCCGACCCAGGACCACCTACACTAGAACCAGCAGATGAAAATCCAGAAGCGCCCTCAAACGAAAGCCTTCCCGAAGCCTCATTACCAAATCCTCCCACCACCTGACCCACCACCGAGTCTAGATCCGTTCCCTCTGTTTCCCTCTTTATGCAGACGACACCGCTTTGCTGGTCAACTCTGTCGTCACTCTGCACAGGGATGACGTCAAGTTCGTTACCCACTGAGGCCACCACCACCGACAAAGATCGCTTATTATCCTTCGGCTTCGACAAAATCTTGACGGCGGAGGAGGCTGGTTTGAGGGGGTGGATGAAGGAAGATTTGAAGGTATTACTGTTGGGTTTTGGTTTAGAAAGAGAAAAGAAGGATTGCGAGGTTATGGAAGCCATGGATTCGCCGGGGTGGCCCGTGGGCGAGGTGATCTCCTTCTTGTATTACTCTCCTCTGTGTCAACTCAAACCAGTGGTGAATTACATGACAGGTAGCACCAGGCACATCCAAATTGGCGGAACAATCACATTGGGGGCTCTGGAACCAAGTGTGGGAAGT